TTGAATTAATCAGTGTAGCTGCTCATTGGAAATAAAGCAGGAAAATATTTTTTTTGTTTTGTTTTGACAAGTTCTAACTACAAAATCATTTTATAATCAAATGTATAATTTTGAAACAAAGTATCTATTTAAAATATACAGATGAAATCTTGGCTCCCTAGAAGTCAATAGCAACACTCCCATTGACTTCAATGGAGCCAGGATTTTCACCCTAAATGTTCACAATTGCACAATTTAGGCCCAATTCTGCAAACCATTGCTAACAGGAAAAGTAGTATTAGGAAACTATTTCATATATTTTTTGTCTTTTAATGCTATTTAGTATCTGTGCACAGAACTCTCATTGACCTTGATGCTGCAAACACTTATGCCTGTGAGTAACTACCGGTACTTTCACCTGCTGATAGTTACTCACAGGCCTAAGTGTTTTTGGGATCAGGCATACTGATGTTAGTTGGAGTCCCATGAGTGCAATCTGAGACCATTAATCAGATTAATGATCAAAGCAAACCTGTTTATTTTGTTCCTTTTCTTGACTTCATCATAAGTCAATTACAGTTTTTAGAAACACAGTGTAAGGAACATATTCTATTGGCAGCTGAGAAAGAAAAGGGTGAAGAATAGCTTTGTGGCTAAAGCACAGGACTGGGTGTCAGGAGACCTGTATACTTTCTCTAGCTCTGCTTCAGACTTCCTTTGTGACCTTGGTAAGCCAGACAGAGGCAAATCCCTCCTCCTTCTCAATGCAGAGGATCCTGCCTGCGACAAGAGAAAATTGGTTCCCCTATGTGTGTATCTGTATGTGGTGAAGCAACACATTAGGACAGCCTACACAAAGTATGTATAGCCCTGTGTGACACAGGTCCATGAGGACTTTCTGTGCAACTATGCAGATCCACTGGCCATTGCCCTACAGGGCAGGAGATATATGTTGTGGAAACTACTCGGATAACAGTGTGATACTCCTCTGCTTGGGCAGTGTTAGGACAAGATCTCTAAAAATAGGAACAATAATACCTACCCACATAGGGAGTAGTGATTAAGTTCCCCAGATGCTAACAGATATTAAGTTCCCCAGATGCATTTTGCCATAGAATGGCAAGGTATTATTCTTATGGGATCAAATCCTCAGCAGTGTTGAGAAAGAAAAATTGATGTCTTGTTTCTAAATCATTATGTCCTGAGCATGTGTAGTAGTGACGTTTCTTTATGTTCTTTAATTCAAAATTAATTCTACATCCAAGATAAGGAATATGAATATTCTTAAAACTGGTTATGCAAAATAAGTACTGATTATATGCAGTGTGTTTTTGTAACCCACACACCTTCTGGGTGTTCTGTCCCATCTAGTGGCACTGACACCACTAAGAGAGAGAGTTAAATGAGGTTGCTCTACAAGTCTACAGCCTTAGTTAACAGCCAGTTGGCTTTTAGCTCATGCGGTAGAGCAGGGGTGGCCAACCTGAGCCTGAGAAGGAGACAGAATTTACCAGTGTACATTGCCAAAGAGCCACAGTAATACGTCAGCAGCCCCCCATCATTATCCCCCGCCCCACTCCCAGCACCCCCCACCAACCAGCAGCCCCACCAATTAGCGCCTCCTCCTCCCTCCCCATCAGCTGTTTCGTGGGGTGCAGGAGGTGAGGGGGAGAAGTGAGGGCACAGTAGGCTCAGGGGAGGGGGCGGGAAGGGGTGGAGTGGGGGCAGGGCCTGTGGCAGAGCCAGGGGTTGAGCAGTGACCACCCCCCTGCACATTGGAAAGTTGGTACCTATACAAGAAGCCACATATTAACTTCTGAAGAACCACAGATTGGCCACCCCTACAGTAGAGGGCTTAAGCTCCAGAGGTCCCAGGTTCAATCCTGCCCTCTGACAACCAGGCTCTGTCAGCAACAAGTGAGGGCTTGTCTGGGATTTCAACTGGGAAGACTCTGAAGCTCAGGATGCACTTCCTCAGCTAGGGGAACTATATAATCCACACACCTTCTGGGTGTGGTGTTCTGTCCTATCTAGTGGCACTGAGACCACTAAGAGAGAGAGTTAAATAAGTCTGCTTAACAGCCAGTTGGCTTTTGGCTCGTGCACTAAGCTTCAGATGTCCCAGGTTCGATCCCATCTGTCAGCATTACATTTTGATAACACAAATTCTCACCCCTTCCTGCACACAGGAACCAGGCATAATGTTAACACTAAAGCTCACCCATAATATTGTATATTTCAATCTTGCAAAAGGTCCACAAGTGCGGGCCTTACTTCCATGTGAAGTCCCACTGGACCTGTCACAGAGTTCTCTACTCACCCCTGGGGTGCCTTCTTGTGGCTGCATCTAGGGAACAGCTCCATCGAGTCTGAAACCCCCTTCTGTCAGTCACTCACTTTGCAGCCCCTCTTATGCTCCAGGAATTGCAGTGCTCCCTCTTTGGGGCTTGGACCTCAGACCAAGTCACTAACATTTTCCCCTTCTGGGGATTCAAAGTCACTGAACTGGTTGACCAGGTATCATTCCTGCCAGTCCTCCAGTTCGAAGCTATGTCCAGTGACTAGTAGGGGAACCGAGGCCCACCCTGTACACTGGGTTCCATCTCAACAACCCTCAAATTAGTGTTCAAGGTCTGCACTGTTTGAAAACCTTACAGCTGTTTCCCTGATCCTTTTCCTACCACATCTCTATCAGGCTTTCACTCCACCACCCTTCTTCCTTTCCCCTGGGTTTCTTCCTTTCTCCCTCTAAGCCCAGAGAAAGACTACAGGCTTGCACAATGCCACCTTTTTCTTCTTCAGTTCTGTGATGTAGCAGACTCACTTTTTGAGTCCATGACACCATGAATTGTATTTCATATCTTGTTCATGACTTACAGTCTCACACCTTTTCCAGTATTCTTAAAGAATTGCAAAAGAGTAGGTTTTTTTTAGTTGGGCCTAGGGTTGCCAACACTCCAGGATTGTCCTGGAGTCTCCAGGAATTGAAGATTATTCTTTAATTAAAGATTGTTATGTGATGAAACCTCCAGGAACATTGCCAACCAAAACTGGCAGCCCTAATTGGGCCCCATTTTCCACCTCTTTCTGCTCTAAATGTATTGACTTTATACCAGCCCTGCTTATTCCTGTCCAGCCGGGCTCCATGTCAGTGCTTTCCTGTCAAAGATAAACTCTCCCTCAGGTGTGGCCAGGGCCGGCTCCAGGGTTTTTGCTGCCCTAAGCAGAAAAAAAAAAAAAAAAAGACCGCGATTGTGATCTGCTCTACCGCCGCAGCTTCAGTCTTTGGCTGCAATTCGACGGCTGGTCCTTCGCTCCGAGAGGGAGTGAGGGACCTGCTCCTGATTTGCTGCCGAAGAGCTGGACGTGCCGCCCCTCTCCATTGGCTGCCCCAAGCACCTGCTTGCTGGGCTGGTGCCTGGAGCCGGCCCTGGGTGTGGCCTATCTGCTAATTTAGCCCCTCCTAAGCCACACTAACCCTTTTCAGGCTAGTGTGTGGTGAACACCCCATCACAGGGCCATACTTACACAGTCCCTTTTTAGGGCTGGAGCCTTAAATATACTGTTACCACAAGGGGAAATGAAAACTTCTGGATTTCAAGGGCCCTATCTTGCAGTTTCTTGTGATTTTGCTTTCAGCAAATACGCTTCAGGATTGAAAACCCAGGGGCGTAACCCCTAACTTTGTTAATGGACAGCTGAATCAGCTCCAAAGTTTTCATTTCTAGACCAGAGATTTCCCAACATTTCATATTGTGGACCACATTTTTATAAAGAAATTGTCTCTGGCCTTCGCCCCATCCATTCCCGATAGCATCATTCAGTTATTCCCATTCCCACCCATTCTTGCTAACGTAGACACCTCTCAATTGCAAGTGTATGAACCACCTCCTCGCTGCTTCACAATCACATGCACTACCTTCCCCCACATCCTTCACGGTGCACCATCTCCACTCCCATTCACAAGGTATGCAGGCCACCTTCCTTCCCATTCACTCTCGCATGGACTACTTCCCAGCATTTTCACGATCCTATAACATTCTAGTGCCAACTACAGCAATTGTTTACAAAAATTAAAATTAGGAAAGTATTTAATGTGTTTTTAGTTTCAAATGTTTCAGCAGCAGGAAACAGGAAGGTAGAGCCAGCACTATGAGATTGGCCAGCTCTCAAAGGCCACACTGAGAACCTCTGCAACACTCAATTGTTTTCAAAGGGAGTCAGGGTTAGACTGACTCTTTTAACAAAATGGTATTGTATTTACAGTAACTTCCCCTACATGGCAGCATTGCTACTGGGTCACAAAGTGACTTGGGCCATTACCACAGAATATGCAATGCCAGCTGAAGTGGAGCAGGGCAATGGGGTTGGTGCTATTGCCATGCAAGGCCGACCAGGACAGTGCCATTTGTGTCAATGCTATGCAAGATGGAGCTGGGTAGTGCCACTTGAGCTGAAGCTGTGCATGTCAGAGTGTCACCACATGAGGTGGAGCAGGTTGGTGCCACTGGCGCCAACACCACATGAGCTGGAACAGGGCGGTGCCACCGGTACCAATGCCACACGAAGCAGAGCAGGGTGGTGCCACTGGTGCTAATGCTACGTGAGGTGACTAGGGTGCTGCCACTAGCGCCAATGCCATAGAGCACAGCAGTGCTGCCAATGCCATGGAGGTGGCGCAGGGCGGTGCTGTTGGTGCCAATGCCACACGAGATGGAGCAAGGTGGTGTGAATGCCACATGAGGTGAGGAGGGCGGTGCTGCTGGTGCACGCCAGGAGCCCGACACCTGTGGCTGAGGGGCTGGGTTTGGTGGGTGAGCTCAGCAGCCCCAAGCCTGGACTGACACACGGGGAAGCTGATTGGTGCCACCCTCCCCCCAGGGGCGCTCAGTCCCTGCGGAGGCCTCTCCCCTCATCCTCGCTAGGGCCAGGCCCCTTAGCAACAAGCAGCCGGCGCCGGCCGCCCAGCCCAGCATTAGGCCAGGGGGCGGGCTCTTCCGGTTCAAGTCGGAGCGGAGGAAGCCGGGCGGCCATCTTGGATCCTCCATCCCGGAGCGGGCGGCGCTGAGCGGCGGAGTGGGGGCGGGGGCTGCAGGCTGCCGGAGCCGGCCCGCGGGGCTCCTGACACCCGGCTCGGAAGGCGCAGGGGAGCCCGGGCCAGCCGGGTAGCAGCGGCGGGTGGGGGAGGCCCAGCATGCGAGCGGAGGCCCGGTGAAGCGGGGCTGGGGGGAGAGGCGAGGAGAAGGGAGAGGGAAGCGCTTCGGAGCGGGCCTGCCTGGCTGCCAGTGCTCGGAGCTGGCTGCGGAGAGGCGGCTTGTTTTCCTGGCCGGGCTCTGCGGCGCCCCGCTGCCTTCTCCGACCCGCTTCCTCGCCCCCCTCAGCCCGCTGCGCTCTGCGAGGATCCCCCCACCATCCACCTCCTCACCCCTCTGCGCGCTGGGCTCCTAAGCTGGCTGTAGGATGAGCCCTGAGGACTCCCAGGGGGAGACGCTGCTCCATCGCCAGGCTGGAATATAGCTCAGAAGTGGGGTGGCGGCGGTGGAAATAAGGAGCCCCCCACCCCCTCCCTTGATGGTGGCCCTTCGTAGCCACTGCCTCGCAGCAGAGTGACACGCATTCTTTGGGGGGGTGGTAGGTTTTTGTTGGGGAAGGGGTGTTTTGTTTTGCTGTCGCAAGCAGCCGGTGCTCCAGCACAAGCGAATTAAAATGTCCACTAGAACTCCATTGCCTACGGTGAATGAACGCGACACTGAGAATGTAAGTAACCTGGGAGCGCCGGCTGGGCTTTCTGGGGGGTGAGTGGGCGCTGGGGTGGCCGGATCTGCCTGTCACCTAAGGAACGTGTGTGCTGAAGTGCTTTGGGCGCTGTGTCGCTCGTGTGGCTGAATGTGACTGCTATACACAAAGGATGGCATGCGTAGAGAGGTGTGGGTGTATTGTGTCCAGACACAAAAATGTCTCAGAAGAAAAACTGCCAGAGAGAAATGTGCATTTGTTTTAGCAGATGTTGGCCCTCTCTATGCCAATATAAAACCCATAGGTGTAATTTGAATGCAAGACACTGTACTGAATCAAACTGTGTAATTTAAAATCCCCAAAGTGGAGCCTGGCATCATGGGTAAATATTATGTTCCTACTGTTGTGATACTGGTTCAAGGCACTGTCCTGGCAGCTGGATGCTGTTAAACAGATGTTTTACAGGTGTGTGAAGAGTATTGTTATTGTGAGTGCTGTCATTGAGGTCTTATGCCTACTTATTATTTTACTTAAATTACGGTTTAACTAAATGTTTCTCAAGAGCTTGGTTTGCTGATGGTAGTGTTAAAAAAATGACAAACCCTGTAATGTTTTAATGATATATCATATATAGTGCAAATACAGTACTGTCTCATATATTAGTGATGCAGAATTTGGGAAAAATAATCCATCTGCCCTGATGTTTGTAAGTTGAAGTGTAAAATAATCGCTAAAACAAGCCAATAAAACACTAGTAAACAGGGTGCAGAGAACAATCCTGTTTTGGCAGGGGAGGACTGGGTGACCTAGATAAGTCTTTCCATCTCTAATTTGTGTGATTATTAATGACTAGAATAATAGCTTTATTGTCACCTGTTCAGATGATATTGAAAGGTCCCCTTTTCTGAAATTAGCAGCAAAGACAGAAAGTCCTCCCTCTGTTAAAGGGTAGCATTTGACAGTGAATGCTAAACATGTTGTAAATAAAACTGCATGTTTTTATTAGGCAACAGTAATATTGTTAGCATTTTATCTGAAATATTTTTAATATGCAAATAAATTGTATGTAGAAACCTAATATCAAAAATCAAACTCAGTGAGACAAACCCTCTCTAAGTAGAAACCTTATTTGCTTAAAGTTGAGACAAAACTTATTTGACCTCAGAATAATCAATCTGAAAGGAAAAATTATTAGGAAAAAACGGGTTGTTTTATGTGAGACGGTATGCAGATGAGTTGTAGTTTATATTGCTCTGAAGCACAAATAAGCAAAATCAGTGAGCATTATTTATATTTCTTTCATTATGAATATAATTCCGTGTCCTTTAGAAACCATATGCTGGGTCTGAGTGAAAGTGATTAGGGAGAGATGTACCTGATTTTGGACTGAAATAAGGAAAAGGAAGATTTAGGCTGAATATTAAGAAAAACTGCTAGATTTGTTAGAGAGCAAGTAGTCTTCTAAGGGAATTGGTAGAAGCCCTATTGCTTGAGACATTTTAAAACAAGACCAGACAAAACATTAGAAAGAAAACATGCTGCATAAAACAGTCACTGCATTAGCAGGATTTGGATTTTATTGACATAATAGTCATTTCTCACTTCTATGATCTTTTTTATTGGTTTAGCCCTTGGTACAGCCTGCAGGCTAAGGGCTGTATTGAGCAAAAAGTCAGCTAAGCATATTTTGTTGCAGAATCTCAATGGGCTTCAGCCTAAGGGCCAAAGCTGCCCTGTGGAAGAAAAGCATAAAAATTAAAATTGTAGTGGCCTTTTGTATTCAGCTGAACTTCCAAATGGCCTAAACAGATTCCCCTGTAATGTTTTGGCCAGTCATTGTGCTCCTAGCTGTGTTGGTTCAAGGTTTTTAAACTCCAGTTTGGCCTTATCCTGATCAACCAGTCAAACCACTTTAGAAATTGTTTAAAACTGGTTCTTTAATTTGGTTTAAATCCTAGTTTAATACTTTGGAAACATGTTATTTGACAATTGGGGCTAGAGTTGAAGTTTTTTCCATGGAGGATATTTCATTCTGGTTTCAAAATATAGAACAAACTCCTTAGTAATTTTCTTAATTATTGTACAGTGCTTGTCTTCATTGCTTGCAGACATGTCACTTTATACTCTGATCAAGGCAAATTTGCAAGATAAGCAAAACTGAGCTGGGTGACCACTCAGGAATTCCTGTCGTTAGTAGTATTGTGGTTCAGTAGGCTAATTCTTCCTTTTTAGTCACTCTGAACCAAAACCCACGTATATAGTACTGTACTGCTTGAGGTGCTGCCTTTCAGGTGTCGTGACCATTAGTGATAAAAACATTTGCTCTGGGATCTTTAATGTAAAGTGGTGTTCTGGCCAAATTTCAACTCTGGTATTTACATTCTTTCTGCCTAAATTACCTCTAAATTCAGTTGGATGCAAAATTAATTTTATTCCTATTTTAATTCTAAAATACCGTATCATTCACTCCTAGTCTAACTGTTCTTCCACCTCAAAGATGGTTGTATTTTATTGGAAGGTAAAATGAAGCCTTAACTACCTAGATGAGGCTTAATTAGTTAATATTCCTAAAGCGCTTTGATCTTTAGATGAAAGGTGCTTAGAAATGCAAAGTATTCAGGGAGCCTTTGGGCCATGGTCATGGGACCCCTTAATGTCTTCTCTATACTAGGAAAATTACCTAGTGTTGATAAAGGATACAGTTTAACCAGTGTTAAGCCTGGTTTAACCGCTTGTGTAGGCAAGGACAAACCACACTCTGAAACCTGTCACATTAAGTGATGTTTCTGAAACTCTGGTTAGTTTCTGAAATGATAGTGAACAAAGTTTGTCTTTGTCTATGTTCGCAGTTAACCATGTTCAGCAATGGGTAATTTCTGAAGTGTAGACAAGGCCTCATCATCAGTGCTTAATTTTTTTCTGTTCTCTTTTTTTAATTAATAAAAGACAATGTATAGCTCTCTTTGTTACCGAAAAATGCTTCAAAACATAAACCATTAGAGTGGAAAGTTTGTCACAGTGCTTTTCCCTTAAAGCTGTTGGTTATTCATGTTTCCCAGCCAAAAAGGGCAGGCCATTGAGGCTCAAATATCTGTGGCCAGGAGTCCCTTATTTTTGGTAGGAAAAGGATCAGGGGTGACTCATGTAGGGGAGCTATCTGACTTCCACTGATGACACTAGGACTGCTGCAGGCTGGCTGGCTGCCTGAAAATCAGCTCTGAGCTACCATTGTAGCTTCTGGCCACAAGGGTGGAGCAGCTCATCTGAGGAACCTGCTATGCTGAAGGCTGCTGGCCATACCTACTAAGTCTCCTGGTATGTCAGGGAGACTCCTATTTACCACCAAAAATTCCCAACTCCTAATTTAGTAATGTTGTCACCCGCATAAAAAAAATCTGTGTCAAATTAAAAAATTCAGTTATATTACTCAGAATCTTATGCATCAGCTACATATGCGCATCAGCCTGCCCTCCCCCCTTAGTCCCTTGAGTCAGTGAGAGACTGAGGCACGTGTATGGCTGACTTACAAGATTCTGGGTAATGTAGTTCAGGGTCGGTAAGTGCTATTTAAAGTAAGAGGGTGAAACTTCTTCTGCCCCTCCCCCTGCCTTGCCCCTCCCCCACCCCATGTCAGACCCCTGCCCAGGGATGGGTGCCAGTCTGTCACAGCTCTGATGCACCATCTCTTTCCTGGGTATAATGACAGCCTCTATGTGGCCAGGGCGCTGTGGCCTGGGTATATGTGTCCCCAGTCATTGGGAGAGCCCCAGGCCTGGATGGGCTTCATTGGTCAAGTGTCCAAGGGGCCGGGCTATGTCAGCATTCCCAGTGGTGGTGGGTCTTTTGGCTCAAGATGGAAATCCTTAGAATGAATGAGATTTTAAAAAGCATGAAGAAATGGAAGGGGTGAGAACTTTCAGGCTAATTCATTTTATTTAATTTATACTTCTGTTTTATTGTATTTCCATTACATAAACTGTATACCTATAAAGGGATGAGATGACTATTTTGAGCAGTTATTAATTTTGCTATAAGCAACAGAGGGTAATTGGGGAAAAATATTTACAATTTGCCCTTTAGTAATCTTCATGGCCATAGCTAATGTGGGGGATTACCCATTTAAAAAATGTTGAGATGTTGGTAACTATTACTCCTGAGGGCATTCTGTGCCAAAAAATTAAAAATTCTGCGCACAATATTTTAAAATTCTGCAGGTTTTATTTGTCAATAAATAAATGCAGAGGCTCCACATGGCAGTGCGGAGCATAGGCCACTGGCTGCACGAAAGTGGGAGATCACCTTGCAGTTCCCCCGCTCCCACCCCATGACTTAGCAATGAGGCTGCGGCCGACTCTGATACAGCACAAGGCCTGGGTCTGCCCCAGAAACATCGTAGGGCCCTGCCCCTCTGCGCCAGGTACACTAAGTGTGGGGCAGGCAAGCTCAACCAACAGGATGCAAGTGTGAAGGGCCTCAGTGTGGCGGGATCCGGGTGTGGGGTTAGAGGGTTCTCTGTGGGACAATCTGGGTGCTGGCAGCTTAGTTGGGGGGTCTAGGTGTGGGGGGATCTGGATGCACAGAGGCTCGTGGAGGGGGAGGGGGTTTCCAGGTGCAGGGGCAATGGGACTCTGCAGGGACTTCCAGGTGAAGGTGATTGGGGCTCAGTGTAGGGGTCTTGGTGTGGGGGTCTCAGCAGGGGAGTCCGGGTGCTGGGGGAGTGGGGTTTGGTGGGGTGGGGGTCTGGATGCAGCTAGTTGGGGGTAAGTGATGTGGGGGCTCAGGATGGTAAGGCTCATCAGAGTGGGGGTTTGGGTGCAGGGAGCTCAGTAGGGGGTGGTCTGGGGTTCAGGAGTGGGGGTCTGGAGGCAGGGGGGTTGGGTGAGGGGGGCTCCAGATGTAGGAGTTGAGGTTCGGTGGGGTGGGGTTTGGGTATAGAATGCTAGGGGGGTTCTGGGTGTATGGGGTGAGGCTTGGCAGGGGTGTCTGGGTATGGAAGGTCCGGATGCACGGAGGTTGGGAGG